TGTGACTTCCTTGGTTAAGTTTATTCCTATGGCTGAAACTGGTTTGGCTCATTGGATAGAGCATCGGTCTGCGGACTGAAGGGTCCCAGGTTCGATTCCGGTCAAGTGCATGTACCTGGGTTGCGGGCGCGTCCCCAGTGGGGAGTGTGCAGGAAGCAGCTAATCGATATTTCTCATCGATGTTTCTGGCTCTCTATCTCTCTCCCTTCCTCTCTGCAAAAAATCAATAAAATACATTAAAAAAAAAGAAAAAAAAAAAAGAAAGGATATTCTAGCCTGGCTGGGAGTTAGAAACCCAGGGAGTCACCCTTGGGATGACATCCATTCTCATTGAAGAACTGCCTATTATCATGGAGAGATCACCAACCTAGTTGCCCAAACAATGGGGGTCCCGCCCCGCCTGCAGAGCCTACTTCCCCATATAATCTTGGTCCCACCCTATCTAAGCAGCTGGTTTGGAGAGTTTGCAGAGCAGATTTTTGTGGATGACCTGCTGCTCCCCCATGCTGCCAGCAGTATTGGAATAAATGCTCAAATATGATTAAAAAATTTATAATTTAATATGGATTGCTTTTTCATACCCTCAACGAGGTATCAATTTTTAAAAATCTCATCATAGAAACAAATATATTAAAAAGTTAATCCCATTACCAGAGATCATCACTATTCATGTTTTTAATATTTCCATCCATTTTTCTCTATTCTAGTTTATATACTATGTATTACGTAAGACATCGTCTTAAGGTTTAACATGAGAAGTTCTGCATATTTAAGAAAAGAAAAATACATCAAATTATCTTCCCATCAACCACTACTAGTCAATGGTATTTATACCTGTTTGAGATAGGTCACTGTAAGAGAGTCTTGTGTTCTCTTTCTAGATAACTCAGGTTTGCTCATCATCTGCTCTTTATCACAAGTGAATCACTACAGTTCTACCTAACAGGATACTGCAGGCCCAAGAAGTATTTATATAGCTCCACTGCTTAACTATCTAGACCAGGGCTCCTCAAACTTTTTAAACAGGGGGCCAGTTCACTGTTCCTCAGACCGTTGGAGGGCCGGACTATAGTTTAAAAAAAACTACGAACAAATTCCTATGCACACCGCACATATCTTATCTTGAAGTAAAAAAACAAAACGGGAACAAATACAATATTTGTATTTGCATGTGGCCCGCGGGCCTTAGTTTGAGGACCCCTGATCTAGACTCAGAACCCCTGGTGGTCTGTGGATGAACTTAATTGAAAGAAGACCCTGAAATTATATGGAAAACTTTGTATACATGTATGTTTCCAGGTAGGGGATCCAAGCTTTCATTTCCTCAAAAGAATCCATGGCCTTCTCCCTTCAAAAACTAAAAACTAGTGATTTAGAGCATCCTATATAATAAAAGTGTAATATGCAAATCGACCAAATGGTGGAACAACTGGTTGCTACGACATGCACTGACCACCAGGGACAGATGCTCAATGCAGGAGCTGCCCCCTGGTGTTCAGTGCGCTCCCACAGGGAGAGCGTTGCTCAGCCAGAAGCCGTGCTCAAAGCCCAGCGGAGGTGGTGGGAGCCTCTTCGCCTGAGGCAGTGCTAAGGAGCAGCAAGCAAGGCTCACGGCTGGCGAGCAAAGCGGTGGTGTCGGGAGCTTCTGCCACCTGTGCTGCAGGCAGGCGGTAAGGAACGAGGGGTCCCGGACTGCGAGAGCCCCAGACTGCGAGAGGGCACAGGCTAGGCTAAAGGACACCCCACCCGCCCAGTGCACTAGTCCCATGCACTGAGCCTCTAGTTTTTTTATAAAGAAGAATCCATGATAATGACTGTATTGTGGGGATTTTTAAAATAGTAATATCTATTCAATATAAATTTGAGAAGGCTACCTGGAAGGGCTATCCACACCTTCTTGTCATTGTCACTAATATGGAAACTCCTTGGGTTTAGATCCATCCCTTAATCTTCCTGGCTTTGCAACTACCCTGCAGAGTTTCAGCCAAGGAGTCTAAATAAATCAAGTATTTAATAACAATCCTTAGTACAGATTCCTCTGGTAATTGAGGATCTATTTCAGTGAAAAATTAAGTCATTCAGAATTTGATTTCTTTCTTCAATGTTTTGTGTTTAAGAAATACATACCCGTTGGAAGATGAACTATCCGGACAGCACTGTCGGTGGTATTCACATGCTGCCCCCCAGCTCCACTGGCTCGCTTAGCATCAATTCTCAAGTCTTTAGGATTAATCACTAGATTAATCTGTACATAAGAGAGAAATTTGGGATTAAAAGTATTACATATATGAACTCTTTAAAAGAAATAGCCATAAATATAAATATGTATAGAACTTATGAAATTTAGAAGGTTTAATTTTAATAGAAGGTAGTTAGAAGGATACCTTCTTTTAAACTTTTCATTTTGGAAGAGTAGCAGATCAAAATACTATAAAAACAAAATACTATAAAAACCCTAATCCTCAGAAACTGGACTTCTCTATAAATTATCCTCTTTTTATCACATGAACAGCAGAACTTATATTATTAGAAATGTAAGTATTTGAGCTGAAATGAGATTTTGCCAAATATTGACTTTGGCAGAGGGAAAAAACAATGCTAGCTTAGGAACTATGGGAAAGGCTTATTTTGTTTAATTAAAGGAGGACTTGAGTATTTTTGGAGGCAGAGGAGAGGCAAAGGGAAATTGCCAAGCCAAGATTCAAGTCATAGACACTGGGATCTGATGTCAGGCTAATGCTCTGTTCTGGGAATCACCACCAGAAGCACTAGATTAAAGAAACTGTTTCATGAATAACCGTGGACCACTCTGCAACATGTCTACAACCCTACCAGTAAGAATCCTACCAGCCATAGGCCCTCCCTTTCTCCCTACAAGTTGCTAGAAGAATTAGATGATACATGGACCTCAGTTTCCACCTTTTCCGGAAAACTCTCTTCCATCCCCAAGATGCTTGAATCAAAGTGATTGGTACCTACATAAGGCTCCTGTTACAGTCAAATAGCACTCCTGCGCCCTCCCCCCCAAATTAATAAAGCGAAAGCCTTAATTAAACTTCCTTCTCAAATCATACCTACTTCATTTTGAAGGACAAGTCAAATACTTATTTTCAGCAAAAGGAATGTAAGTGAAACAACATCCTAAGTTATTTTATAAATATTATATAAACAAATTTCTTTATGAGAAGAAAGTATACTCGTTGTGAACACTAAGAATATGTTCCATTTTAATATGACTGGGTTATAAAATAGTAATTGTCAAATTGTAACCTTATTAAAACAGGATTCTTGCTATTGATACTCTGAGAACCAATCAACACAAAGCAAAAATCATTAGTCTTAAACCCTAATTAAATTAGGTTAATACTGCCGAAACCGGTTTGGCTCAGTGGATAGAGCGTCAGCCTGCGGACTGAAAGGTCCCAGGTGCGATTCCGGTCAGGGGCGTGTGCCTGGGTTGCGGGCATATCCCCAGTGGGGGATGTGCAGGAGGCAGCTGATCGATGTTTCTCTCTCATCGATGTTTCTGACTCTCTGTCTCTCTCCCTTCCTCTCTGTAAGAAATCAATAAAATATATTAAAAAAAAAAAAAAATTAGGTTAATACTATTTCTCCTGCAGGGATGGTCTCAATATAACTACTTTAAACTTCACAGTAGAGAAAAATTAATAGGCAATGCACAAATTGATGACTGATACTCTTTAATTCTTCCCATCTATAATAAAAGCGTAATATGCTAATTAGACCGGAATACCTTACGGACGAAGCCGGGGCTGCGAGGGAAGCCCAGGTGCTTGCCGGCGGCTGGAGGGAAGCCGGTGCCAGCAGCCGGGGAAAGCAAGGCCTACTCTTGCATGAATTTCATGCACTGGGCCTCTAGTCCTATCCTATATAATAAAAGGCTAATATGCACATTGACAGAAAGGAGATTGACCAGTCACTATGATGCACACTGACCACCAGGAGGCAGATGTTCAACGCAGGAGCTGCCCCCTGATCGTCAGTACACTCCCACAGGGGGAGCACTGCTCAGCCAGAAGCCCTGAGCTGGGTTCACGGCTGGCGAGCACAGCGGTGGTGACGGGAGCGCTACAGATGTCCGACTGACGGCTTAGGCCCACTCCCCGTGCACTGGGCCTCTAGTTTGTTATAAAATCATACTTTTTGGACTGAGATACCACATTCTCAAAAATAACTCAAAAAATGTGATAAAGGCCAAATACAGCAAGGAGATGCACAATTCAGTCAAGTGAGTGTTCCTCTGGGACAAAGCACTGTGCCAGGCCCACGTTCCCAGAAGGGGCACTGTGATGCCTTACCTCAGTGGGTAGGGGTAATATTGCCACAGTCATGGTGCTGGTGTGAATGCGGCCTTGCTTCTCCGTCTTTGGCACTCTCTGTACTCTGTGCACACCCCCTTCAAACTTCATGTGCTTATAGGCCTCTGAACCCCCAATGCTGGCAGAGGCATGTCGAAGCCCACCTTCAAAATATTGGGAAAACAGAATTCTTTTTTAATTCTTATCATTTATTAACATTTGACCATCACTTCTACCATCTTGAGACATATTTTAAAAAGCTACAAAACAACTTTTAAATGGTAAAATATACCGAAAAACTTAAACAAGTCCATAATGGTGTTTTTAATATGTAATATATTTATTGCTAATTATTAAACCTAAAGCATTTATGGTGTTAACTGACTCAACACGTCTAAAATACCACTTTTAAATTCTTTTTTAAAATATATTTTATTGTTTTTTTACAGAGAGGAAAGGAGAGAGATAGAGAGTTAGAAACATCGATGAGAGAGAAACATCAATCAGCTGCCTCCTGCACATCTCCCACTGGGGATGTGCCTGCAACCCAGGTACATGCCCTCGACCGGAACTGAACCTGGGACCTTTCAGTCCGCAGGCTGATGCTCTATCCACTGAACCAAACCGATTTTGGCTAAAATACCACTTTTAAAAGACAGTCACTCAGTGGTTAGTATTGACTAACATTTTTTAGGCCCTTGGTATATTTGCATTCAAACTTATTTAGGTAAATGATGAGCATAAAACTACTTAAGCATCCTTACAAATAAATTTGAAAGCCTAGTCTTTCCAACCCTTTTCTTAGGACACACGTAGATAAATCTACACTTTTCCCCAAACGAATTAAACAGTTCACTGACCTATTTCACTTGGAAAATATTCCAGGGTTTCAAAATGCCATCTTTTAAAAGCAGCATATTGCTGATACATATCAAACATCTCTGAAGTAAACAACATTGCCTCCTGACCCCCAACTCCTGCAGTTACCTCCAGGATCAAATCATTTTCATCTGTTTCTTCTGAGGGAACCAAAAGTAAGATAATCTGTAAATAAAAAAATATCACCCCTTCTATAATAAATCATTACTTAAAACTCTGAGAAAGAGGCAAATGGTTAGAAGCAGGATTTAAATATTTAATTTACTTAAAGTTTCTCTAAGCAAACTTAATACTGCTGATTACTTCCAACCATCTTGCCAATTGGAACCGTAAAAGCATAATTTCTAAAAAACATTAATATTGCCACCTATGTTATAAATGTTATAACGTCCAGCTAGCACTTACAGGTTTGTTTTTTTGGTGTTCATGTATACTTTACATCACTTCTCTATTCAGTGAATGATTAAGTACCTGCTGTGAGTAGGACATTATTGTGTGAAGAAAGCAAAAGAACCTATCCTTTTGAAATGTGCAACCTAGCATGATAGGAAAAAAAAAAATGCATTTTTAAAAAATCTTTAAGTGGAAAAGAAACTTGCAATTTCGGAAGTGAAAGGCCCTTCGAAGACCTGGTCCAATTCCCTCATTTTACATGTAATGGAAAATGAGGCTAACAGAGGTTAAATGATTAGTTAGATCTTCTACTCATAGTCTACCCCACCCTCATCTTTTAAATAAGCAAATGAGAGGATACAGAATAACAATATTCTGTTCTAGCAAATCCTATTCATGTAACATTCATCCTTGTGCCAGAGCTTTATAAATCCTTTTAGTATGCTAAAAATAGGACCACAGGGAGTACCTTTTTCCGGCTTTAAAAAACAGTTTATATTTCTAAATACTAACAAACTAATTAAGTCCTAAGTTGTTTTTATTAACATCTCATAAAAGTCTTTAGAAATAATAGTACTAATGCTACTTTATTCTTTGTATAAATACTATACCTGATGCTTCAATTGAGCTATTTCTTTTTGACAGGAAGCTATTTCATTCTCTGCAAGTTTCCTTAGGTCTTCATTTTCATCTAAGAGATAAAGGCAATAGTAGGTTAAGTTTTCCTTAATTAGTGCTAAATTGCCAACAGAATTTAAGGAAATAACTTTGTTATTGTAGCTGAAGGGAAAAATAAAATGTCTTTCTTGTCCTTTTAACAACTGTCATTAATTAAAAATAGTGTTTTATGCATTCGTTTTCATAAACATGTAGCTTTAAAAAATATTTTGCTGATGAAAAAAGAAAGCATAAATAAAAGGTAATCTATATAAAGAAGCTTTTGAACTTCGTTATAATTCTACCTCCATGAAATATTCGTATTAACAAATATTCTTTTAGTTTCTCTTAAATCACTTAATTTGGTCCCTGCTTAACTCTGACCTTGACTGTTGCATGAGCCTTCACACTGCTGTCCATGTCACCTTCACCCTCATTCCAGGCTGACTTCTAAGCTACCACAAATCCAGCTTCCTAACCCACAAACCTATTTTGACCATTCACTCCCCAGTCTAAAAACTTCTCCTGGCTCCCTTCTGCCAACAGGATAAAATCAACCTTTTTACATTAGTATTTGATGGTCCCCTTACAACCTGCCAGCTCCCACAATCTCTCACTTCTCCCTTGGTTTAAGGAAGAGTTCGGGGATTAAAAGCATGAGATCTGGAGTCATTCCAATCCCAACTCCACTCCTGAAAAGCTGTGTAATGTGAGTGCTCATTTCACCTCTATGCTTCAGGTTCCCCTTCTCTCACAGGAGGCTAACGGTACCCACTGTATAGTTTGTTATATGAACTGGATGAGTTAATACCTCAAGAAAGCTAAGCAAAGCCTGGAGTATGTATGGTAAAGGATCCATAAAGGTTGAACTACATTATATCCTCTAAGGGTGGGCCGTTTATTCTTTTTATTTTAAATTGATCTTCATTGTGAAAGTATTACAGATGTCCCCGTTTTCCCCCATGAACCCCCTCCACCTCACACTCCCCACGCCTCTCCGCTAGGCCCCCCAGGCCTTTGCCACACCCTTGTCTGTGTCCATGGATTATGCACACAGGCCTTCCCAAGAAGTTCTCCTTGCTCTACTGGGTCCATTCAGATATCTGCTGTTTTCACTTTTTAGCTGTATTATAATTAATTCTCTTTCCCCCAGTAACACCGTGACACACACACCCCGTCCCCCGGAGCCCTGCTACCCAGTGAACTGCCCATGAACCAGTCAGTAGCCTGGCATGCCTGAGAGCTTCTAGAAAGGCAGAAACTTAAGCTCCACCCAGGTCTGAATGCATGCTAGTCACTTGAGAAACTTGTTAAAAGCACACAATTCTCAGATTCGGAGTCCTATGTCTCCGTTTACCAGGCCCCGCCCCTGACACCTCTGCAGGTGGTCCTTTTACCGCACTTTGAGAAACGCGGCGGGGGCTGCGTCAATGGCACACAAGGGCTCAAAGAGGAGGGGTTTGGCTCCAAACGCACTTCACGACGCCTTGGCCTCTGCTCCAAACCAAAAAGGGCTGCAACTAAGTGAAGAGCTTCAACCTCGGGGACAGTGCAGACACCCGGCCAGCGGCTCGGTGGGAAATGCCGACGGAGCGTCAGGAGCATGCTTGGCATCCCGATTCCTCGGGCGCGGCCCTTACCGTGCAGCAAGGGCTCGGTCTCCCGCAGCTCCCGCTCCTTCTCGCTCAGCAGTTTGGCCGCGGCCAGCAGCTCGGGCCCCCTGGGGGCCTGCAACTGGGATTGAGACTCCGCCTGGCGCTCCAGGAAGGTGCGCAAGGGCCCGCCGCGGGCGAACAG